GATAGAAAATTTATAATTAAAAAAGAATGAAGTGGAATATGGGCGCTCCCTATGAGATTAACTGAGGGGAGAARAGAAAACAGTCACGCGCTCAAAAAAAAAAATTGTGAGGGCGACGGCCTCCTCTTCTTCTGATACCATCGTTCAACTGACCAGGGCCCTGGGAGATTCAGCATTGAATGGCCCCCCCAAAATATACTAAGAAAAGCAGGCATTCATGAGGTGGCACACAGCATTGATTGCTTCCCAAAACAGGAAGGATTAACTGTGGGCGAAACAAAACAAAAAAACAAAACAAAACGTGGAATTAGCACTTGCCACACAGCATTGATTGCTTCCCAAAACAGGAAGGATTAACTGTGGGGAAAAAAAAAGAAAAAAAAAAACACGGAACCAGCACTTGCCGCACAGCATTGATTGCTTCCCAAAGCGGGAAGGATTAACTGTGTGCACAGCGTACAGCCAGCAGATACAAAAATAGAGAGATGGCTGTCGCAGGACGCATTTCTATTGCTACATTGGAAAAAAAAAAAAACGCAAAAGAACCAAGAGGAGGAGTTTGCATGGCAGGGCCGATGCTGCAGTCACGTCTGAAGGGGCACTTATCACGGCTTCGACAGAGCTTCCGCGATCTTCATGAGTGCGTCGCATAGGAGCTTCTGTCCTACATCCGCCAGTTGCAGTTGCCGCTCATGAATGTTGAGCTCACGTTCCAGCACGGTGCACTGCCTGTCCATGAATTCGCATTGCCGCTTGCTTGCCCGATCCACGGACTCTGCCACAACGGTAGAATGTTCCTTCATCACCTCCCCCACCACCGCAAACGCTTGTTCCCGTGCCGTTTTTTTCTTGCCATGGTGCGACCCCTTTGATGCTGAAGCACAATCTGTGCTCATGTCTTCTCCCTCCTCTCCTTCGCTGTCCGTATTGTCAGCAGGACGTTTGCCAGTGTCAGCGAGGTTGGTGGGGTTGATCGTCTGGTTGCCACCCTGCCCAGCATGAATGGCATCCCATAACTCACGATCTAGGAAGAACTTGAAACCCTTGTCCCTCCTCTGCTTAGCTGTCAGCTTCCAGAACGTCGCCATACCCGACCGGTCTTCATGGTTGTCTAAAATATGTTTGTACCACATAAACATATTTTCCCAGCGTTTACGACATTTTGACGCTGCNCATATTTTCCCAGCGTTTACGACATTTTGACGCTGCCCGTACTATCACCCCTTGCGCCTCCATACGCTTCTCAATATCCAGCCACTTCCAATCCTTCGATTTCATCCTCCCGAAGTTCGATGGGAGACCTGCAAAATACTGCTCCTGATCCCGCTTGCAGTGGATCAGAATGAGAGATTGACGGTTGTCCCATACATCCCGTCTGCCGTCCGCCTTCACAGCATCTGCACCACCTTTCTCTCTTGCAACCCCCGTGCTCGCCTGCCCAACATCATCAAGACGCCCAGTGGCGGACTGCGCCGGTGCCGGGGGGCTTGCAGGTGGTTCGGCATCCCCTTCCACATCATCTGGGACAACATAATCGCCCCTTCCCATTGCAGGCCCCTCCGATCCACCGCCAGACGCCATAGGAGTTGTGCTGGGCTGTCGTGGCACATCGTTGCAGAACACCGATGCTGGCCCGCTCCCAAGAGACCGGAAAGCCGAACTCCCAACAAGGATGCACACCCCTCCTCCATGCAAGCCACCCCCTCCTGCGGTAGACGCTGTGGAACGCACCGAAGTGTTGATGTTCGTACGCGTAGCCCTTGGTGTAGCAAGTGATAGGGAGCTGAAGCACTCCGTCGGCTCTGTTGCAGACGCTGAGAGATGGACTCCAGTGTCCAGCTCCAATTGCGATGAAAAGGAGCCGGCCGTGGACAGGTCCACCATGTCGTCATCTGGAAGTGGCTGAAGATGCGATGGGAGATGCGCATATGCAGCCGGGGCCAGTCGCTGCTGGCCCGTTGGTATGTTCCACCCGCGGCTGGCATCTGAACCACACGGGGTCAACCTCACCATGCTGCCTTTCTTACCCCCGGCCTTTACTGCCTTCCTCTTCGATGCGCTCCTTGGAGCTCCTTCCTTCACCCCACGCCTCCGCACCCTGCCCAGGAACTGCAAGAAACGGAGCAGAACGATCACCAGCAGCACAAGCGACAGAACTGCAATGAGGACCGCAGTACGCACAGCACTGGCCATGGGTGCCGTGTACAAGTAATGTCGAAGCGGAAGTGCCTGCCGTGGAGGAGGTGCCTGTTCTGGGGGCGTGCATGCGGCTAACGAAGAGCTGGAGTAGCGTTGGGCACGTGCATGGCGCTATCGAGGAGCTGGAGGACGTGCCTGCGCTGGGGGACGTACGTGCCTGCGTTCTTCCCCCGAATACAACGTACGGTCATTCTAGCTGTATCTAGACTGAAAGATGCGTCAAATATAGCTATAATGACCGTACGTTGTATTTGGGGGAAGAAGGTGGGGGTCGGGGCGCATACCTGCACCGGCTGCCTCGTTGGCCGCGCGGCAGCGAACCCAACGGCTACCCTGCGGGGCGCATGGTACGTGGGGTGGGCTGCGCTGTAGCCAATCCAACGGCTACTTCGCATGGTTCACCACCCAGGTCCGTCTGTGGACCAGGACAAAAATTAAAAAAAAAACAAAAAAAATGGACGGGGGTACTGCACGGAACTTCTAACTACCTGGCGGCGCATGTTGGGCCAGGCGCCGTTTTCAAGGAACGTCGAGGAAAAAACAGTCGGCCGTGGGAGGTGACTTGAAATTTGCCTGCGGACCCTACGGCCTCCCTTCAGTTTCGGAGCGGGAGTTTAACCAGGGGGGAACCCTAATCACTTTACAATAGTGATTAGCAAATCTCAAGGGCGCCGCCCATGAGATTTTCCAAGTAGAGGGTAGTGGAACGAGGCCCTATATATATGTATATATATTCTACAAGAAAACTCAGCTCATTTGTTTGGTTGTGCGCACCAAAGGAGAGGTCGAGGAATCCTCGACAAACAACCCGGGGCCAAATCCCACTAGCAGCGTTGAGCTAC